AGCGTCCTCAATAGCCGCTCGCATTCTTCCCCTGTCAACCTCCCCTTCCCAATTTGTCCATAACCATACGACGGCGTATTCACTTGCTCCGACGAGGTAGAGGGCGACTACTTGTCCCACCCAAAGACCGTAAAGTCCCTGCGAGCGCTTGAAGGCGAGGAAGATACCGAGAGGGAGGGCTATGACGTAATACGCCACGATGTTGAATATTGCACCTAGATGTTGGCGACCTGAACCGTTGATTAGCATTGGGAAGTATATTGAGGTCGTGTGAGGAGTACCTTGTCCACGTAGGGTCCCTCCACAGGATCCTGCCAAGCCATCGGCGATCTGAGATGACCGATTTAGATGCAAGTAATTCGAACTACAAATGCGAATGACTAACCTGGAATGAGGCTACGAGAGGCATTACCACCGATACTAGTCTGACCACATCGACTTCGTCACTGAATAGATATCCGAATACCTATTAATTTGTTAGTATGATACGTTTCCTTCAAAAAACGAAGCCTACGTCTTTCGTCGCAATCATGATGGTCATGATGATGGCGCCCAAAATCACAGAAAGGAGCGCAGCAGCATGTCCGGCTCTGCTAGCACTTTTCGCATCTTCAGCACCGATAGCGTTGCCGACACGCTGAGAAGCAGCGACTCCTAGATATTGAAACGTTAGAACCGATGAGAATCGAAAAAATTGAGATGCCGACCGATGCCGAAGGGAATGGTGTTGAGCACTTGATCGGTCGTCATTATAACACTCTGGGCTGCAAGTGGTAAAGATCCAAGACGACCAGCAGCGATAGCGACGATTTCGAAGGCCCACCATTCGGTTCCAACCATGATGATGCCGGGAATGGCTAACTTGACGAATTCCAAGCAAGGTCGCCATGCTAAGAGCGTCCCGATCGGAAGGAGTCCACCCCAAGTACCGTTAGCTTTGTGTTGCGGGGAAAAAGCTGCACAGAAGGCTAGAGCGAAGAACGAGATCCAGTACGTAATCGAGATAGCTAGCGGAGAGCCTAAGAACCCTAAAGACGTGTAGTGGACGAGGACGTAGTTGAGGCCGATGTTGATGGGCGAGGTGAAGACTAGGATGATGGTAGAGAGCTGTAAGATGCCTGAGAGGAATTGAATGTGAGCTGATTGCTAATCCGAAGCACGGCGATTGATACCGCACCTTGACACTGCAAATATTTCTTTAAACTCTCGAAGCAGATGTACCCGGGCGCCCCCACTATCAGCACTCTGAGAAATCTTTGAACATCCACGCATAGTTGTTCTTCTTGGCCTAAAAGTCGTAGGACTGGTGCCGAAAAGACCCATAGGAAGATAACGGGAATTAGCAGCACGTGCAGGATCACGATACAGCGTTGTAGGTGAGCAGAGACAGCGGTTCGGGGTGTCGTTGGAGATGTGAAAGATGCAGATCCTAGAGTATCGAGTGCTGTTGTTCCTCCCAGTGCAACACACCACCCTGTAGGCTCGTCAGTCAACCGTACGGGATGCAACCGATAAAGCAGACTCACCCGTTACCATGGCCAGCATCATTGAAAATGCAGCCGCCGACAATTCATCCTGACCTAATCTTCCAACGATGAGGACCGAGGCCGTCTGTATCGAGTTCTGCAAGGCATAGGCTAGAGCGCAACGTCGGACTGAGACAAAATTTTCGTCGGGCGTAATCGGAGTTGCCTTACCTAGGATCACAGGCGCTGAAGACAGAAATGTTGCTCCAGTCTCCGCCAATAAACTTGGTGATTTCGCTGGGGTTGGTTCGAAAGGTCCTGTCGCTGTCTCTGTCGTTGAGGACGAAGATTCCGGATCATCGATTAAGGTCGCCGCAGGACTTGCGCGATCTCCCGAAAAATATCGGTCCTGGTCGGCCGGATTTTCCGCCAGGAGGTGAGTCGTCTCATTTGGAGCCTTGGACATTGTGGTTCGATTGGCTGATGATGATGAAGGGTTTATAGTGCCAGGTATCCCTTAGTGTCGATCCTCTGTGCTTGCACGCCAAGGGTCGTCTTCAGGAAGCCTGCGCATCCATTATTTACCCTTGTCATAAATCTGGCTCCAAGAAGATTCGTGAAAAATCTCCGGCGATGAGATTTTTCTTATCCTGATCAGCGACAAATTACGGCTTATCGGTCCTCCAGGCGGTACCACGCTGTGTAAATGTACGTACATCCATCCCGTCTGCGTCTTCCCAAGCGCCTTATCAAGTGCCTCCAGGCCTTTAGAATCCAGATCTCTACACGTTTCTTGCCCCTCGATCTCCGATTTCATTCACTCCAGCCTACGTCTTATCTAGAAGCCATGCTATTCCCTCCAATAGCAATCTATATCATTTATCCGATAGACATGCGTTCAGTTCATCGCACGATTCATCGGTCACCTGCCTGCAAACGGTACGATTTTTCCCTCGTCATCTCCTTCTCCGTCCCGATGTCTTATTAGGCGCGGAACGCCTCGTTGCTCATTCTGGCTGGTTATATCTTGCCAAGTGCGATATCGCATCCCCCTTATCTCACAACGTCCCACTTCCACTCGTCGTCACACCAATGCATCTTCACCTCGCATTCGTCGCCATTGCTCTTCCTGTAGTGCTCTGTGCACAAGATGCTCACCATGATCATCATCACGATGAGCAGGTACCTTTGGGTTACGTCAAATATCCATATCAAGCCCAATACCCGGGTGACGGCGATGGTGTGTCCCTAATCCAGTCGACCCAACAACCTCGTGCTGAGCCTTTCACCTTACAGTGACCGCTGACTCCATTTTCTCCGGCATTACTACCTTCGCCCGGCTTCCCTGGGTCCAATGCCTCTCCCCGAAAGGCTCTTCCGAAGCCTTCGACATTGCGTTCCTCGGTGCTCCATTCGACACTGGAACATCCTATCGTCCTGGCGCAAGATTTGGTCCCGCCGGAATTCGTGCTGGGTCTCGTCGTCTTACCCTTTACGGCGGATACAACGTTCCCCTCGAAACGAATCCTTTCCTGTCTGGTCAGAAGATTGTCGACTGTGGCGATATTCCTGTTACACCCTACGACAATCACTTCGCTATCAAACAGATCGAACAAGGTCACAAGACGCTCATTCAGCGACCTACATTTTCTCCTCTCGGTAACGACTCGGTCACTGGAGAACCCTTGGTTCCTATTTCCATTGATGGAAAGCATCATCCAAGAGTCATCACTCTCGGTGGCGACCATACCATCGTCCTTCCTCTTCTTCGTTCCATCTACTCTGCGTACGGACCCATATCCGTGATTCACTTCGACAGTCATCTCGATACGTAAGCTGCATGTCAAGCATTGTTTATGATTACTAATATGGTACTGTAGCTGGAAGCCTTCCGTATTCGGCGGCGCTCCGAGCGATCAGGCTGCTATTAATCACGGTACATACTTTTATTGGGCCAGTCAAGAAGGGTTGATTAAGAATGGATCGTCAATTGCAAGTGTTCAGTTTCCTTCTGCCCCCTCCCCTTCCCCTTCTATCGTTGTCCGTGAATTCTTGATCCTAGTTTAAGATTTAACAGCATGGCGCGATCCGGACCACTCTTTCTGGGCCTGCCGACTACGAAAATGACGACAATGCTGGCTTCAAGCGTATCGAAGCTAGGGAGATCGATACTATTGGTATGAAATCATTTCATGCTTCGTCAAATCTCTTTCTTACGATCGTGTCTCAGGTGTCGATGGAATCATCAAGAAGATTCGAGAAACCGTCGGCGACATGCCCGTTTATCTTTCCATTGACGTAAGCAAATTAGTTTCGATTCAATGGATAGATGATTTGACCTCATTCCTAGATTGATTCTATCGATCCTGCGTTCGCTCCCGCTACTGGAACGCCTGAAACTGGCGGATGGTCCACTAGAGAACTCCGCGCTATCCTGAGAGGTCTCGATGGACTTCACATTGTCTCCGCTGATATCGTCGAAGTCGCTCCAGCGTATGATACGAATGCAGAACTGACGACAATGGCGGCCGCAGATGTAAGTTTGGATAAATTCATTGTATCGGAATCTATATTGACGCCGTTCTTTCAGGTTCTGTTCGAAGTCTTGTCCGTTATGACCAAGACTCCGCTCGGTAAGGTCGCGTCCAAGTCTAAAGCTAACTAGGTCAGTGAAATAAATAGTCTCTTTGTCGATGTTATAATTGTCGTGTACATTTATGTTCTACACCGAAAGTCGAATCATATTGAAACTGTTTGCCTATGCTATCAGAGCGATTGATCCTCTTCTCCAGTCACGTTGCATTCAGGAAAGTGAGAAATAAAGAACTTAGCCCAGGGCGCGTTGAGCGCTAAAGAGTTGCGAGACATGATGCATGATACATGATCGACCGCGAGGCGAACCTTAGCTATATATGCTCTGCCCCTGAAACGTGTTCAACATCGTGTCTAAGAAGTCATCGGGACATGCCTTACGTATCGATAGAACCGGGTGAATCATCCTCGTGGCGAGGGAAACGAGGACTCACCGTGAGACCGACATAGGGCTCGGTGGTTTTGATGAAGTGGCCTCATGGAACGAGATCGATGAGAAATGGCTATATACGAGGGATACCCAATGATTCGGACTCGGAGATGCGATGCCTCAGCGTAGTACAACTGTACAAGACCCATAGAATGATTTCAACTCTCAACCTAACCCCATCAGCGACCACCGCGAGCGAAGTGAAATGATCGCCAGCAGTGCAGATCGTCCGAGAAGCACGCTGCTGCGATGCTGACGCTCAAAGATCAGGAAACCGTCTCATAGCGGGCGTTGATTCATTCTCTCCATATGACATGCTATAAACAGCGTTCAGATATTGTTTACTGACAGAAACCACAGAAAAAGCCGATGAGCCGAACCTAAGATGATGGGGCGTATACTCTCATGATCTCTTATAACACAACCATGCTATTCAAAATTTACAAAAAAAAATCTGATGCATCCGGGAGCTGATAAAACAACAATGAAGGCTCACGAAAGCGTAAAATATGTGCCTCCTGCCAGGGTTGAACTAGCGACCTTTTGTTTACAAGACAAACATGATACCACTACACCAAAGAGGCCTTGACAAGCGCTTAATAATTATAATCTAGGATCGGAAGGCGGAAAATATCCGGAAATAGTGACTTGCCGCGTGGATGCCACGTCTCTCGGCTTCGGCTTCCTTTCTCAGGCACGGCTTGAAAGTCAAAAAGGCTATCCAAACAGGCTCATTGACACTGAATTGGGTGACGACCATGGCGCAAACGTTTGCGAATCTTCGTCATGATCGCCGACAGCGCTCGGAATATACGGTCAAAGACGGACTCATTCGGCCAAAATTAGAAGCGTCGCCGGCGCCCAGACGCGCCCCAAAATTTCTAGAACGGGGATATGGAATCATTCGTTAGCGGTTCCTTTTACTCTTCGTCTCGAACCACCACCACCACCTCCCTAGACTCTTAGACTTTTGATCTCGTTTTCTCTCCCTGCCCTTGCCTTACTCATTAGACGAAACTATGCCCGCTATCATCCAAAAGCCTGCTCCTGCTTTCAAGGCAACCACCGTAATCGATGGCGAATTCAAAGACGTCGCGTTGTCTGATTTTCTTGGAAAATGGTGCGCTGTTTACTGAATCCTTACCCACTCCATGGCTGACGCGTAATAGGGTTATTCTCTTGTTCTATCCTTTGTATATCGCTTCTCAATACGTCTGATGGACACGATTCTGATTGGGTTCTGTTCCAGAGACTTCACTTTCGTCTGTCCCACCGAAATCCTTGCCTTCAACGACGCTCTTCCCATCTTCGCTCAACACAACGCCATAGTCCTCGGCATCTCCACCGACTCTCACTTCTCTCATCTCGCATGGTCGCTCCAACCTCGTAAGGAAGGAGGTCTAGGACCCAACCTCCAGCTTCCCCTCGTCGCTGACAAGACTCTGGCGATATCGAGGGATTACGGTGTGCTCATAGAAGAAGAGGGTGTTGCGTTGAGGGGGTTATTCCTGATTGATCCTAAGGGTACTCTTCGGTACGTGTTTCGTCGTCAACATCTAATCACGCATATCATTCATATATCTCCTCAGCCAATCCACGATTAACGATCTCCCTGTCGGCCGTTCAGTCGACGAGACTCTTCGCCTTTTGAAGGCCTTCCAGTTCACGGACGAATTCGGCGAAGTCTGTCCCGCCAATTGGCAGGAAGGCCAGAAGACGATGAAAGCCGATCCTACGGGTTCTAAGGAATACTTCGCGGAGGCGAACGGTGTCAAAGTTGCGAACGGTACAAACGGGGTGAACGGTCACAAGAGAGTTACTAGCAACGGCATCACCACAGATGCCGAACCCAAGAAGATTCGCGTCCATTAAGTCCCTGATACGGTCATTTCTTGTTACCTGTTTGAATTTGGTTCATTGATTTAGACTACATCTACTCTCGCATCTTATAACCCACAACTCTTTATTGTGCATATCTGTCTGTCCGAAAGAAAATTCTTTGTCCCTGTATTGTGCGTCATGATTATCAGAGAATTGGCCTGAAGAACTTGTTCACTGGGTCCTGTCGCAAAGTTATGTATCCGTGAACGGGGGTCTCGATGTCAAATAATTGGGATCATTCCTCTCTTGCTTATGATGGTATTGCCCTTGGAGCGCGTCTGAGTGACTGTCAGTATTCCCGACGAATGCATGCACTGCGCAGTGCCTCGCGATACTCAGGCTACGTGACGTGGACGTTACGCGCGCCTATTTTCAACGTGATCACTGTCATTGTCATTCTCTTAAGCCCCTGCTATACGACCTCTTCTTCGGCCTTTTCTCTTTGATCTAACAGCTATGGCACATCCGCTCACATCTTCGCACAATACGACTGTTCAAGAAAGTCTCAGCGCTGCATGTCCCCAATAAGTGTATGGACCCAGGTGTGTTCCGGCCGCAACTTAACGCAACTGACTTGACGTAGGCATCTTCAACGCGAAAAATGAGGATACGGTGTCTATTGGAATCTATCACATAGAAGTCAACAAGGACAACACATGCCTCCACCAATCCGAAACGACGATTAAAGGAGTCATCAGAGGAGAACGAGATTATGGCTCCACTCGTGATCCTTGGACAGAGTATGCTGAGTCTTCGACAGGGCGAATTAGATTTCGAAAGTGATGAAGGTGACGAATAGACAGCAGATAGATGGATTCTACCTTGGGGAGGGCTCGAAGCGAGATCGGGAGAAAGGAGTGTATGGAAAGCAGTGCATTTTTCAGGGATGTCGAAGCGTTGACCTGAGTATGGTCGGAATTGGCTTGAAGGTGACGGTTGGAGGCAATCATTGGGTGAAATGTGAATACGGGGCCGAAGGAAATGAGATTGTTAGGCTATCAACCGTTATCGCAAATTTCTGGAGTCAACGCTATTTTGAGGATAGAACCTACGCCCCAAAGAAAGGGCGAGGATGGCGGCGGAAGTTGCTATGAAAACGAGTCAATAGACATCGAAGAACATGATTGAACGTCCCGATGATATGCTCAGTTAGGGGATGTTGAAACTGACGATAATGGTACTTACATTTGACCACCTCAGCCCAGATGATAATGATGATTACGGCGCCGATAGTGCAAAAAGCAGCGAGAAAGCCGAGGTTACGGTACACGGCCTGGCTGGTTCAATATACAGAGAGACCACCCTTCAGCAACAGAATCGCTGGAACAATATCAATGAAATGAACAAGCGAGCAGCGAAAATATTCACCTTCCGATATTCTGAGGCATACGAAAGTCGTCGAGATGATCGCCTTCGGCGATATTTCAGAGCCTTGAAGCTCGTTTCAATGATGCTAACATTGATGATAGGGGGTTTACTCAAGAGTTGATTGCAGATATCGTATTGTATCGTATCTGATGGGTTCTGAGCCCTGTGCGAGAAAGGCTTGAATATGACGAACACATCACTTGAAGGACTGCATTTGCGATGATTGGATATCGATTGGGAACGGAGAGGACTTCGGGATCCGCCAGTCACCTGTAAGGAAGAAAGTTTGGTTACCGTGCAAGTTGATCCTACAGTTCTCCCACCTCGTCGTCGAAAATCGATAGCCATCGTGAATCTGTGGGAACAGCGCCAGCAAGATTGTTTGGTGTGGATGGTGTAAGGATCAATGAAATCTGACGAGAAGAGCGAGACCCGAAACTTCAGAAAGGTTGAGGACAACGTTCTAGAGGGCTATAGCATCCCTCGAGTCGATTCGCTGCTAATGGATCAGACTCGTTCGCTCGCTGATTCATAGATATTGCCGCACCCGGGAGGCTTGAAACTGTCCCACAAATTCAAGTAGTTCGTGCTCCAGCCTTGTCCTCCTTATCGATGTGGACAGCCTCTCAACGAAACCCGAAACAGCGCGAACTTGCGTTCACGGTAATAATAAGCCCACCGTGGTACGAAGGGATCGAAGTAAAAGGTCCGGAGAGTAATCGAGAAAATCTTTTAAGTGAGGGAGAGAGCAGGCGTCCACAATCGTTCCGAGAATAACGGAGGCATGGACGATGCTTGAGCGTCGTTCATCGGCGGAGTTCTAAATTTGACGCTTTCGGCGCTCAAAGCCTCTTACACTTCCGGTTCCTGCCAATACACGATTAGGTCACTCACAAGCCGAATTCGTCTCTTTACCTGCAATCAAGGAAGCCATTCCTGGTATAGGCGCAAGACTATCTCATCAAATACCCAGAAACTCAATCACGTTGCGTCAAATCTTGAAGACTTGCTGATTCGACTTCAGCATCGATTCGTCACTTCTTCGTGCTGTTCAGAGAGACAGGAATGCATCTCAGGGACAATATAGAGAGTAATTATACGTCACAGAACCCTGCTGATGAGCTGTCTCTGCTCGCCTTCTATTCATTGGCAATGCTCTGTCTTACCTCAAACACTAAATTCCCCGATAACGCTACCCATCGGCCTCTGTCGTCAGCCGCGCCGGATCCTGAAATCCATCAGAATTAATCTTAAGCTCATGACATTCCGTGAATGTTGCTCAATGGTTCTCTGATGTCGTTATCTACTCTCCCCTCGTTCAGTACGGCGGCGCCTGGTCTAGTGACTCCTCTATCCTTGACTAATGCGCTTTTTCTTGTGCCTGGATCCTCAATCGGGGTTAGCTAACTACCAAAAGACCAAGCGATTCTCCGGAATACGCTGGCTCATCAAATTTCGAGTTTGACTATCATGATAGTATCATCCACGAGCTCTAGGAACAGATTCGGGGATGATCCAATGCCATCCCTCGCGGCTCATCCGGACTTGAGCTCGGATATGCTTGTCTCCGATCATCTCGAGATTTACTGCTCTGGGCCACTGCTCCTACTATGCACATTGACGGACTTAACGAGGGTACTCCAACGACTGGCTTGCTAGCTGGCTAACGAAACTGGGTTGGGGACCGATTGCAGTAGCCTGCGGAAAATGACTATCTGCAATATTTGGTCCTGACTAGGTTCCACTCTCCGATCGTGGATCTGTGGATATGTGTTAGAATGCAGCCGATGGATGCCGGGGGCCTAGATGAAGAGAATTCTCGAATGGCTGACCTGTGTCTCGTCAAATGGAGTTTCTATGGTTCCGGTATGCTAGCCTCAAGCTCGGATCATGTTGATTTCGCATTCTTCGTCAATCCTAGTAATTTCCGTCACGAGTGTCAGTCTCCGAGTGCCATGCCCAGCTCAACACCGCTGCATACATTCGAGTGGTATTTATCGAGGGCGTCTTAGTATCTCTTCATCTCTCTAGTCCAAGTGAATGTCTTGGCGACAATGCTAAAGTTTCGCAAATCGTGATGTGATCCGGACTTGTCGGTTTTGGCTTCCAATCGTCTCGCGTGAGACGCCGAAGGGTTCTTTGGCTCGTCCGTTTCTATCTTCGAGCGTCCGGTATAGCGCTTTCAGGTGAAACGCTAGGGGGTAGCTCCTCGTCCAGAACATGAATCGCGAAGATAACGGATCATCTCCAAATGTCATCTTGCTTGCGATATAAGTGGTCCACCACTATAAGCCTTGGACTGTTCGTCTACCCATTCTCGTGGCAACCCAGGTCG